AATCTGTTATCCACCCCATGAAAACACGAGCAGTACTTCAAGGCAGAGCATGTATTGCAGGATGATGTGAAAACCTGGCCTTGCTGGTGGGAGGGAAAGTCTTCCCAGTGATTTCAGGGAGGTGAAGGCTTCATCCTACACTATTTAGGAGCAGTTGAGGCATAATAGTTACGTCCAGCTAATTGGATGCATTGCTATAGGCACTTGAGAAACATGATAGACAGATGCATTCAGCTAGATAGATATCCCCTGGTGTAGTGAGCTGAAGTCAATTACGGAGTTAAACTGTGAAAGATTTGACCTGATGTCATTTATATCTCAAGTCATAATTAACACTTAAAGTTCAACTCTATGGCAATTTTCTTTTAATAACACTTAAAACCTCTGTAGAGCTCAAAGAATTGCATAGACATGATGAAGGATGACTTGAGTGGATGCCAGAATTTCAGTGTTAGTAATTAATCCTCAGAAAACCTTTGCAAGGCATATGGGTAGCATCATTTCTCTTCAGTTTCTCCTTTGAAGGGAAGCGAGGTTTGCCCAATGCCTCCCCAAAGCCCGTGGCACCTGGAGATAAGGACTGAGGCTTTTTCAGGTGCTAAACCAGCGAACTATCAGATCAGCCCAGCTCCCATCTTTTTGTCTTGATATATTTTTAGATTCTACCAAAATCTTTAGAACTATTATGGACAAATTGCTTGTCAAATGACCTGGTTTTTCCAATTAAAAGCTATGCAAATGCAGAAGAAAAAATCTGCCATAAATACAGCTTCTGCTTCGAATATTTTGATGTGGATGAAAGACGAATCTTACTGGGGGAAGAAAACACGCTCTCGGACTGAGACCTTGTAAGCTGAGATTCAGCTTGCTGCAGGTTTTTATGGTCAAGTTATAACTGCCTGTAAGGCAGTGGTTTGAAATGGAAGTGCTGACAAAACTTTTAAACTACAACAGTGGAAATGGCGCCGCAATAATTTATAATCTACAGGCAGCTTTGGATTTATTATCACAATGACAAATGCACTGTCAGTGTTAATAGGATATTTCCCAGCAAGGACTTCTTGTTATGCAAGCCAGGTTCACTATGTCATGCAGCATGATAGCAATAAAGTCTACAAGAATTTGTAATGAACTTCAATTACTAATAGATTATGGTTAATGGGAAATATGTGCAGTAAAGATATGGGTTTTTATATGCGCCTTCTGGTACTCTACAAGGCAATGATTTATGCTACAATTTATGTTAACATTCTCCAGTAAGAAAAAAAAGCTTAAATTGGTGGAAAGCCACTTCATCCATAACCAATATTTAAGATAATTTTGCACATCATGTAAATGAAGATGTAAAATTAGATATTAATCCGTTTCATTTTAGCATTTGTATTTTTATTAAAAATGAAGACTTTGCCCTACTGTGTAACGACATTAAAAAATCCTATCGCGGGCTGCAAGCATGAATTACAGCGACGTAGAAATGGTGACAGCAAGCGAGCTGCAAGCGCGTTTGTTCAATCTGCCGTTGTAATTAACAGAGCAGGGAGAACATTTCTCTACGTATGATTTAAAGCAAGAGCCCCGACGCTGCCCAGGCAGACGTGTTTGGCGCGGAGGGGGTACATACGCGAGGACCAGGCTCCTTTGAGGGGGTCAGCCTTTGCTCCCCCCAGCCCTCCTGCGCGGCACCGCTCCGAAGCCATGCCTCCTCCGCCGGCACAGCAACCCTCCCGGGAACGGCTTTGGGAAATCATCATCACCTGACGCGGCACCGGCGCCGCGCGCTCGCGCGTGCTTATCAGAGGGACGCAGGCCCGGGCGTGTGCCTGCTGCCTCAAAGGAGAGTTGTTGTTGCTGTTGTTGTTCCTCCTCCCTCCCTCCCTCCGGCTGGCTTTTTTCTCCTGCGCCTGTAACATAATCCGTATATTCCGGGTTTACGTGCCCGCGAAATGAAAAGGAAAAGGGTGTCTCCCGACCGGAAAGCGAACCCTGTTCAGCATCACGGCTGATGAACGTAGAGGTGCAATGCTAAGGGTTGCGTACGCCCAGACTCACATCTCTGCAAAATGTTTACGCTTCGTGTCGGAAATATATTTAGCCTGAAAGGGGCACACCTGCATGAAGAACTCGCAGGATGAGTTCTGGTGTATTTTTAATACAGGTAGCCTGATGCCCAGCTTGTTCCCGTCAGCGTTACGCTGGTTTAAGACCACCGCTCTCAGCGAACCTCTGTACAAAGCCTACAAATTCCCTTCCCAGGGGTGCCGGTGAGGAAGACCCATCCCGTTGGCCCACACATCCGGCTGGGGGGTTGAAAAGAGCAAGGCCGGTCTAGAGATGCGCTTTCGGAATAACTTGAGGTTAAGGCAGACTTTCGGCGAGGAAAACACTTAATTCCATGTGGAAAGCACACGGGTAAGCTCAAAATTGCCGTGTAAATCCCAGTCTGTGGACAGGCTGGACTCCCCAAACGTGCTCTGGAATAGCAGTATCTCACTGTACAACTGAGGGCGATTCTCACACGAAAATGTGGCTCTTCAGGCTATTAGGAAGTTGTTTAAGAGATTTACAAAAAGTCCTTCAGTTTTTATGGCCAAATGAGCATAAAAGTGTGCTTCCCCACACTCATTTCCTGCTAAATAATACTTACACTACTTGAAAATACCAGTGGTACAAATTTAAAATTAAAAGTAATTTATTCCTTAAGGGCGCTCTTCTGATTCGGTGTTTCCCCAGCTCCTTAACAGAAGCAGCTGCATGTACCGAACGGAGCTTACTGTATTTTTCCCCACCAGTTTTTTAATTAAATTCTCCTCCTCCGCAGCAGCAGCAGCGGCAGAGGACCGCCCGGCGCGTCTGGTTTGAGGTAAGGAGTTTTCTTCTCCAGCCTGGGGCAAAAGCGCCTTTTCGCCCAGCGAGTTCTGCTTTTACATCCGACCCCGCGCAGCTCCGGGCGCCCGGCACGCGCTGCCTCTCCCTGGCCTCTGCCTTTCTGATCGAGGAGGGGAAGGAGCTCCCGCACGCGTCCACACCAAACCTCCTTTTCTGTGTTCTCTGTGGTCATCCCCGCCCCTCTCCTCCCCAGGCCAGCTCTGCTGTTCCTCGTCTGTCCTGCTGTCTCCCGCATTTTCACAACAAACCTCCCCCCAAAACTCTGAAAAGGTTTTTTCTTCTATTTTTACCTCTGCTAATCCACAAAACAAACAGGACACGCATGCGCATCTTGTTGCTGGGTTTCGTTGTTGGATTTTGGTGGGGTTTTTGTTCTGGCATTTCTGTGGCTCCGAAAGATAAGTCACCCCTGACAGGGTTGATGTGGCAATATCCAGCGGTCACCTCCTTCGCAAGTACCGTTTAGAAGAGGTCACTGACAACACAAAAGAGCTATGAAAATAATTGTAACTTTAATTTGCTTCCCATTAGAAATGCATGCAGCAATCTGTCCTAATGACGGATTTTCTCCTTCCCGCTTCGGCGTGTCACCGTAGCAGCTTACAGATATACCAAGGTCTCCTAATGCGGGAATCCGTATGTAGCACTGTGCGAAAGTAACAGATTTTGTTCGGTTCAACAGCTGAGAAATATCATGGAAGCATTTTAAAATACACTGGAATTAATATTTGATCACTAGGAGAAGTGCGTGTTTCCAATAATTCACCCTAAAACGAATACAAACAGCTATTAATGCCCAATATGGTCTCTTGTAAATAACTTCAAATCATTAATAATCTATACTGTATCAGAAGTGTATATGCAAAAATAAAGCATATTTTCTTGTAGCTAAGGCATTACGTACAGTAAGCCGTTTCAATGCTGAATCATGTTATTTCAACGGCAGAAATCACACCTGTTTCACAAGATAAACTGAGTATTCAGACTATTAAATTCATTCAAGTGACTATATTGTCTCCCACTATGCATTGTGCCTTGCAGAAAGCATAATACTTCTTAAAACCATAAAAACATTTAGCAAAACAAATGCTTCAACTACTGGAGTGGAGACAGCCCCACATGGAGAAGGGACCAAGGAGGCGACGCACCTTCTTGCTGAACACCCGATACTATATACTGAACAGATTTACCTGACATGACCCCATTGAAAATGAAACAAATCCCACCCAAACGTGTCAGTTTGGCATCAGAGTTCACTTTCACATCTTCCGTGTTACGAAGCTCACAAGCCACCCACGGCCCTTGCTGCCAGGTCTAGTGAAAGGCTGCAACCAGGAGGTTTGTGTGTTTAGCTAAAAACACCCAAAAGCCCTATGTGACGGCAGTAGCTGCTTCCTAACAAAGGCTTTGCATCGGGATCGCTAGTGAAATCCACCTCTCCAGGATGGTTTTTACCACTGCTGTTCCTCAACCGTCTTCAATAGCTTCTCTCTTGCAGTGCCAGTGTGGACCTGGTACACAAGCCGCTCTGCAGACGCAACATCATAAAAATAAAGTACAGATACAGGAAAAGGGAAGCAGTGCCATTAAAAGGAGGTGTGAGGCCACTTTCACAACAACTGGAGGTATGAGGTCTGGAAGTCACAGCAAGCTCAAGAGCTCCCATTGAGCAGCCACCCAAACGGTCGGTCATTCTCAGCCTCCGCTCTTGCCAGCTCCACTGAGAACCTGTAATTTGCTTATTTGGTCTGTTGAGAGTTGTTTAAATGAAGATGGCAAAACCACATCTAGTTCTTGATTGTTTCTTAGGAAATGGTCAGGTTTCTGCAGCGCCTGAGTGGATGGTCTGGGTGACATCTCATTATACAACATCCATACAATAAAGCACAATTAACTGCTTAGTGAGTTACACATTCATAGATTAGTACAGAATTAATCAGGTATCAAGGCTCGCTTATAGCAACAGATATTAATACTGATTTCTTAACAGGCTCCAAAAATTATGTATTAGTACTGAAGTAAACTAAGCCATTTATAAAGTAGGAAAAACACATTTCAGCTGCTGACAGTTTGTATCTGACTATTTGCTTTCAATCAAGAAGCAAGAAGTTAACTCATGGCTCAATCACTATTACACTCAGGTTGTTATTAAAAAGCACCTTCCCATCTCTTTTTTCACTGCACTCAGGCTTTCTCAACTCTTCCATTACCTGACTCCTTAATTCAGGAGGAGCAGTTTTAGAAAATTCACAAGTTTCTGTGAGGAAATCCAGCAACAGCTCCCCATCTTCGTTCCCTTCAATAAAGCAGCTTGTTATGTCCATGTGGGACGGAAGCTCATGGACCTGGTACTTCAGCCCAGCTGAATCCAGTATCCTTTCAATGTCAGCAGAGGAAACATAAGAGCAGAGATCTTCTAAAGGGAAGGAAGACCCGTACTTCTTCCACAGTGTTTCCCAGCCACTGGTTCCTGAGAGATAAACCACCAGAAAAATGCTCAGGAATAAGGAAAACACTATTTGAACAAATTATTGATCATCTGGGTTTTCTAGTAGTTGTCCTTGCTGTGAGCAGGGTCTCTCCAGAGTTGGGATATGTGTCCTGGGGCATGGTGGATGCCTCTGCGCTTTGGGGCTGGGGCTGCAGGACGGGATGGACACGTTACCTACCCCGGAGCTCCAGCCCTCCCCACCAAGCCCCCAGCTGAGGCCAGAGCAGCTCAGTGCACTTTAATCCTCCCCCCTTCCGCTCCCAACATGCTGCACCCCTCTGCTTCATGCACATAGGCAATATCTCTCAGGGATATCCTTCTGTAGTCCACATGCAGAACACAAGCTATTCAGTTTTATCTTCTTGATTTAAACTGTTCCCTAGATTTCAGCTGCCTCTTTGGAAGACCAAATCCTCTCCTGCTCCTTCGCCTAATTTGTGGTTGAGCTACACATGAGCTTCACTGAAACGATTATTGCCACGTGAAATACGTGGGGTGCAAAACCCTCATCACATTGTCCACGCAGCTGGATGCGTGGTGGAGAAAAGGGTGGGATGGACAGAGCCCAGGAGGAAGCTGCACCATCCTCCTAGCCTTCAGCCTTCACTCCCATCACGCCCACATGCCGCTGGGCATGGGCGATGAGAGGGCTGCCCCTCACCCCACGCAGACCTCCCCAGTGGTGCTAGAAGGACATTTGGGCTGTGCATTATTTGGGTGAGCAAAGATGAAGGGTGACGAAGTAGAAGGCTCCTGTAGCACCGCAACCACCTCCAGAACTGAGCCCATGCCAAGCCCACGCTCGTGCACGCTCCCCTTCTCAAGGGATGTTTTAGAAAGAAAACCAGCTGGGTAAGCTGAAAACGCCCCAGATACGTCTTCACATCTTTATTTTCCCTCAGCATGCATCTGTGATTCAGCATTTCTGCTATAAATCATTTATAAAAGGATCACCCAGAATGACTGGACAGGATGAAAATAACTTTGAGCCTAATGAACAGCTCTTGAGAGTTAGGACTATAAATCTCCATAACTACTAAAACCAGTCGCTCGGCGGTTTTGCAAATGCTTTCTCTGCAAACAGTTATTTATAGTCAAATAAACAGTTTGGTGTTTAGAAGAGGGGCTACAATATTTTCTTTCACCTGGTGGAAATTGAACGCAGAGCACTAATTGCAGAAAATTTGCTGGTGTCAGTGTTGTGTGACTCGGTGCCATCTCGGAGCCGAGCAATTATACACTACCTGAACGAAGCGTTATTATAATAGCTCTCAACAGGCTCAGCATATGGCACTACTTTTGTTTTCGAGGCGATGTAAACAGATTTTTTAAATGTGTTAAAAATAACACCGGATGGCTCTTTCAATTCGCCTGCTCTCCCGGCAGGGATGGAGCAGGAGGGATTGCAACCTTCACCGACTGACCAAGCCCTCTCCTATCAGTCCTATTCCCAGGCTGGTTTTTAATTAACACATCCTAATGTGTTTGTGTTGGAGAAGACATTACCTTCATTTTTTGAAATGAGCTTTTTTCTGCTTATCTTTCAGTACCTCTTTTTGCTTCAGTGCTCATTTTAACAGTAACTCAGATCATTTAAAATACAGATTTCGTGTAGTGAACTGCTTGAAAACACTTTAAACCAAAAACATTTTGGAGAAAAATAGTTTGAATAAATTCAGGTCAGAGAAGTGCCGCTTCACTGGGGACACTTCATGAACACAAAAACGGAACTTCATCACATTACGGTTTGCAGGCATGGCCAAATTCAATAAAAAATTAAGATTAAACCTCTGAAGAACTAACATTTGACACGCCTGAAAAAATTATCATCAGATGTGACTGTTCACGTAACTAAAACTTCCACGGCTTGTGAGGCAAGACTTTCTAGACTCAAGTTAGACCCCACCATTGCAGTATCTCTAGCATACCCTGCCCACAGTATTAAAAGGTTCTTGTTTACTCCATTGCTACACCTTCCTTCTGGATTGACCACGGAGCATCTCTTTCAGATCTGAAGTGGCCTAAGAACACTGTTTTCCACCCAAAATGACGACATTAAGGAAATGGGCAGTTTGAGAAGAAAATGAACCATATGTGCTCTAACACCTGCTGTACGGCACAGCCGAGCCCCGTTGTAGCCGTTCGCTTAATGCCACAAGTCTCCAGGAGCGAGGTAAGCGGCCCCAGCCTGAAAAGCCCTTTACAGAAAATGGCAGAGGCTGGAGGAGCTCGTGCGAGTGAGGGCCGTGGGACGGAGCCTCTCGCCCGCTCCGGGGCTCCCCGCTGCCACCCGTCACCGGCCAGAGGAAGCCGCTTTGTGCCCACGGCACAGGTTTGGCGGCTCACAAAGCCGTTGGCTTTACAACCTGCAGCACGGAGCTGCGCAGATACCGCGGGCGTGCAGATTTCAATGGGTGCAGATGAGCGGGCACCATTTATTATGCAGCCAGTACACCTCTATGGTGATAAAGGGCGTGTTAAATAAAAACGTGCATTTTTTCTAGCTGGCCTGCGTTGAACTCGCAGGAACCCCAAAGGTTCTCGTGGTTCTTGCCCCACCGAGCAGTGTTGGTGGAACAGCTCTCACCTGACACCAGGATGATGAGGAGCTTCGCCTGCGCTGCCAGGAGGCTGCGGAAAAAACGGATGGTCGCTGGGACGTCTTTCACGTAATACAGCATCTGGAAAGAGCAGAGATGCTCGCAGAGATATGGTGCGGTCCTGGTGAATATTATAACTGGTACCACTAGGTGAAAGAAACCGAACGGGGCAATCTGAACAGAAGAGCAGCGGGACGACAAGGCACAACGGCAGGCAGCAGGCTCACGCTGCGAGCTCGGGGCTGTCACCGCCCTGCCTGCTCTCTGGCTCTCCCAGGACCAAGCCCGTCTTCCTTCATTAACCGGAGATAAAGAGGTCTGCCTTTCTTAGCACTGAAGATGGCTTGTAATGGCTTCAGTAAACTTGGAAATACAAAGGCAATTTCACAGAGAGGACAAGGAGCTTTGAAAACACTAGTTAAAACGTATTTTTAGTTGACTGCCACCCACAGCCTGATTAATAGGACTACTGTGCTTAAAGTTGCTTTGCTGTAACTCATCTTTCATTTTTGCAGTTCACTTATGCTTAAGTACTTTAAATTACAGGGAAATAAACTCACCTTTCTTCCCCTTAGAGAGGATAATGAGGTCACATACTTCATGCATACTTTTAACAGCCAAGTCTTTGACAACATTTACTTTGCAGAGACTTTTACCTGGATCATGTGAATGAAGTCCCATTTCTTGGGCTTCTTTTCTGCATTCATGCGACTTTCGTATTCATAAGCTGTCTCCTCATGCCAGGTAAACTTTACATTCTCGAGGTTTGATGTCTTAGCCACATGCTCTGAAATACAGGAGAAGGCAGGATAGAGGCATCTCAATTGCAAATACGGGACCGGTTTCCATTGAGAGCTTTAATACATCCGAAAGTCATATTTAGGTAGAGAGTTTGGTACCAGTTTAACACAGCAGTGGAATGTTTAATACCTTGAGCACATATGTAGGAAGGGGGCTGTCCAGGTCTTTGTAGGATGGAGTCTTAAGAGGGTGTGATGCTTTCCCCTTTGCACCCTCATTTGGGCTCCTCCAGTTTTTACCTGATTGAAAAAAAAAAAAAAAAGAAACTTCCCCATGGTTGGCTCACGCTGCACTAAAAGACGTTGGCTGGGATAAACAGTAAAATGAGGCCATGAGCAGCACGTTTCATGCTGAATGGGAGAAGAGCTGATGGCCCCTTTGCTTAGGTGCCACCCAAGACTCACATGGCTGAGGAGAAGCCAGGCCATGGCAAAGGGGTTTTCAGAGACTGAATAAATAAATACAGGGGCTTGAGGATGGATCAGGGGGCTGTGTTTTGGAGAGAAAGCACAATTAAAAGCTTGAGAAGGGCAGAGAAAGCAAATGGCTCACTCTGGGAATTTGAAACAGGGATGGTAGGAGAGGGAAGGAGCTTCGCTCCATGAGCAAGGACCCATCTTTTGACATTTGGCTTCTGCTCTGCTCAAATACATGAGATTTTTCAAAAGCCCACAGTTTCGGCCAACTGCTTCACGTGGAAGGAATAATACTGTTTTAAAGCAAAGACTAGTATGAAGAGTGACACATAGTGTGTTTTCAGACCTCGATACAACGCACATCCAGCAACTGAGGAAAGCAGAAAGCTGGAGAAGTGGATTCAAGGAACAAGTTATGCCGAGGGCCTGGCTCATCACCGCATTTCTTTGCTTTTAATGGGAGCAAAACTGAGGAATAATTTCATATTTTAGGGGATGCTGGAACACTAATGTCCATCTGCTGGCATATGGAGCTCATCTCACTGCGCTCCCGCCTGGCGCTCGGGATTGCTCCAGGACAAAGCTAGCCCTGATGTGATTCTTGTGCTTCACTGGAGTTAACATAAATTTAAAACTTAAATGGCCCAAAGGCAGACTGAGCCTTAGCTACAGAACACATGCTCAAAACAACATGATTTGCTAAGACCAACGCCTTTACACCACTAATCACGATGTTTCTCCTTTTGGGCTCCAATTAGGACATACCCCCGTCAGACAGATGAGAAACGCTCCATCATGAGTGCTTATCTCCTCTCCTGTACGGCTGGGAACGGGCCACCCCTTTCTGACGCTGCTTGCTGTTACTCTGTTTGCCTCCATGCACGATTCACTGGCCCCGGTGCTCGCAGTTCAGATTTGATTTGCTGTTTTAAACTCAGGTTTCGTTCAGCAGCAGTTCATATCGCCATCACAAATAATCTGGTGCAATCTGGTTCGATTCAATTGCTAGACAGTCTGCGAGGAGGCACTAGGAAGAAAACTGAATTGCTTGCCAGGGTGGGCTTTTGAAGTCAAAATTTCAGAAGGGACAAACTCATTCGTATTAGAGGAAGTTGCTGCCCAAAGACCCATCTGAAGCCAAAACATATCACCCTAACCGTTTTGAAAAGTTTTCCTTCATTTTCTCCTGGGGTCAGCCCAGATTGCTGTCTGGGTCAGAAGCCGGCTGTGTGCCCTTGTGTACCCGGGCTGCCTGCAACTGCGCCGCATCGTGCAAGCAAAAGCAGCGCAGCTCAGTCGGGGTGCCACCAGTGCTCCGACCGTGGTCACCAAGGGGTTTCACCTCGACACAGACCAGGAATGAAGAAAAGCCACAGCCTGGCCATGGGGCTTTGAGGAGAGCCTCCGTTGTATGACACAGCCTAAGATAAATCTCAGTTTGTCATCACCACACATCCCAGTATGAAGTTTCTCTTGTGAGCGTGGCTTCTCCTTCCCAAGGAGAAAGTGTCTGGTTAGGCAGAAACGTAACTACTGAATCCTCAGAGGCGCAGATGATGTTTCCAATTCTCCACGGAAAATCTTAGGGCTCAGAAAGCTCATTAATGATACCTACTGGGGACATGATTAATTACCAAATAAGAGAGTTTAAAGAAAGAAATTCAGATGAATATTTAATTTCTAGTTTAGCATAAAACTTAAAACAAGGACAACATTTTATATTTTCTTTAACTTTCTTCTGGAAAGAAAGTCACTGAAGTAGGATAGGACTGCCAGCTAATCGGCGGTGGGTGGCGAGACCACCAGGAAGATTCAGCGCAAATCCAGTCCCACGTAGCCTATGGTTAATGGCCCAGACAGGACAGAAACGCTGTGTGCAAGTGCCCAAACTGTCTTACAAACAGAGCAGATGCTCTGTTACCCATCCTCCACCATCTCAGCCTGGAGCAATGTAAAAGCTCCTGGGATTTAACACAAGCCATTCTTTCAAGGATCAGGTCCACGTCATGCAGAGACAGATACACAAAAATTATGTGTTTCCTGAGAGCCTTTGGTGCTTCCAGTGAACTCCCCCATGGCAGAGAGAAAAGGACTGCTACCATTCTTACTTTTTTTCTTAGATTTCCACAAGTTGCTTCAAACTGGGAACGCTCATTTTTAAAGACTTAAGTGAGAGTAGGAGATGGAGATTTACAGTGTGGTTTTGCAGTCTGGTATTTACTATGGTTTGGAGCATTTCCAACAACACAGACTGCTGAAGAGGTTCATTCATTACTGCCATGTCCATTTAGCAGCCGCTTTCTGGCAAGGTGTGCTCTGCTCGGGGCTGCTCACAGCCTGTACGGCATAGCCGGTGTCACCTCCATACAAGACCATAATTACATAGAATCATTAGGGTTGGAAAAGAATTTTAAGATCATCAAGTCCAACCATCAACCCAACACCACCATGCCCACTAAACCATGTCCCGAAGTGCCACGTCTAGACGTTTTTTGAACACTTCCAGAGATGGTGACTCCACCACCTCCCTGGGCAGCCTGTTCCAATGCTTGACCACTCTCTCAGTGAAGAAATTTTTCCTAATACCCAATCTAAACCTCCCCTGGCACAACCTGAGGCCATTTCCTCTCCTTCTATAAGTAGTTACTTGGGAGAAGAGACCAACACCC